TTCCCACGCTGTGTAATTTGACTCATAACACTCTGATTGGTGGATTAAGTAATTGATTTCAAACCAACCAGAGTGCTGTGGCAGGTAAATGTAGAGACTTACCTGTCAGTCTCTTCATTTACCTGTCAAAGCACTCTGATTGGATGGCTTAAACCCACCAGAGTGCTCTGAGCCTAATTGCAGGGCGGGGCAAGGCTTTATAAGAAAAAATGATCGAAGAGATAAGGCGGAGCATGGGCGAAGTGGAGATTGGTGTTACATGTAGAGTAACAGGGATATATCGGTGCTGGATCAGGGGCGTAATATCTCTAAATCTGACATTAAATACATCATGCATCTTTGTTAAAGTAAAAAAAAAAACACTACAGGTTCACCTTAACATTGCCTCGAGGTTTTGCAATATTTATCAAACTCTTACCTTCTGATAGCTCTCTGCAGCAAATTAGGTCTGACGTCCAAGACAAGGCATATTATTGTGGTTTTAGACTTACCATTCATGAAAAACATTTATCAGACCACTGGACTGGAGAAATACAGGACTATTCCATTAGTAGATACATAGAAAATGAAAGTAGCATTTGTTCGGTAGCAAAAGCATTTGCGGAACCTCCAGGCATCTCTGTTATTGATATACGGATCTGTTTAATATGAGATTGTTATTTCAAAGTATTACAGTTCCTTTCTGACACCTTTATCGGTACACAAACATTGACATACTGTATGATGAATGGCACTGTAATGACTCAATAACGTGGGAAAATTGCAAGCTGACCCGTGAAATGTTTTACAACAATCAGGACACTGGCTCATATCCCAGCATTGAATGACCATTTCTTCAACTCATTGGCTCTCTTAAACTATCTTATGTTATGTGTCATGGAAACTGTTTGCCTTCAAAATGTACAAACGTCTCCAAGTGCTTTTATTATCAGATTGATGTTCAGGATGTATTTGAATTGGATATTGTGTATCATGCCTAATTATTGGATCATTTTCTTAAAATGTGTGTTCTAAAAACTGTTAAAAACAAAAAAAAAATATTAAAGATTTAGGGACAGTTTTTGTAAAAAAGGTAACGAAGAAGAAAAGGCACACTTTACTGCAATGGGACAGATCAGTTTGTAACATTTATAACTAAGTGGTATACCTTTTTTAACACATGGACAGAAGTCTTTCAAAGTAGCGTCACTCTTAATGGGCTTTGACCTTAACCCAGATCCAAAGATGGCCTTCCTCAATATTTACCCAGTTTCCCTACCAAAATCTACAGAATCTACTAGGTCATCTCTTCTCTGCCACTAAGACTCCATACTACTAAAATGAAATGGCACAGGCACTCTCCAACTGTCACCATAATAATAATAATAATAATAATAATAATAAAAAATGGTGAATATCTTAACTCTAACAAATAGCAGTAAGAAAATGTCCCATAAACGTCAGCATACATTACATATTTTCAATAAGATAAGGTCCCAGTACAAGGTTCTGGAAGAGCAGTGGGCAGTACTATTGGGAAATTAAGTTCCAGATCCTGTATTGAAACGCTTGCAAAATAGTGTTTTATGTTCTGTTTTGATGTTTTAGTAATTTTTTGTTTCCAGCTACCGGGCAATCAACCGCTTCTTCAGGTGGTATTGCACTCTCTCATGTATGTATTGCGTCTACCCCTATTTTCTATTTGTAAAATTCAAAGGAATGTACATGTACTGAATTCCTATTGTAATATTTTTTTGTGAAAATTCAAAGTTTCAAAGTAAAATCTCAATTGGAAATAAAAGCCTATACCCCATGAAGGAGGTTATACACCTTCCTTATGCTGCCATATGCCATGCCACAAGTGGGCACATGTTCGCAAAACATCAAGCACTCAATGACTGCTCACTGTAAAAAAATCCTAGTAACTGGGAACCTTCCCCCATGGTGAGGCTCATTAATTAAAAAATATACTGGGAATTTACTGTCCCACCCTGCTCGAAACACTAAGTTACCCCATTATTTTTAATTAGAGCCACAGGTGGGGGCAGAGGAGTTACTAAGTCCTTCCCATATGTACATAGTTAATTGGCCCCACCATGAGTACCCTCGTCCCAAAGGGACTGTCCACCCTATCTTGGTAGCAGTAGCTTTTCATAGTGGGCAAGCTGAGTGGGAGCATAGGGTATAATTCAAACCTTCCTTGTATTTATATGGGGGTCATTTTGACTCCCATATATTTTTAGTTATTTGCTTTTTAATGACTAACATGGTTATATATTAAAAAGGCAGATACATGTACTTCTGAAGCACATATATCAGAGTTTTTTTTGAGAGCAGCTGACCCGTTCATCTATTCGGCTACTAGAATTTCGCCTGGCTTTAAATCCAGTCAATTTTCAATCACAATATTAGACAAAACTAGTCAATAATATCTGACTGAGTTTTGCCGATATTGTAGAATCATGGCCTTGGCTTAGGATTGCAAATGCCCATCATTATGTAATTGCTTTTATTTAAGAGCAAATTAATACCACAAATTGCTGGGAAGTGCTTTCAAGTTGTGCCCGACAGAAAGTGGGATTATTATGTGTTCTATAAAACCAAAGAAAACTGTCAAAACAATAGTGGTCTTTAAATTGGCACCTTCATAGTCAATTCACAGGAATTCACTGTGTATGTGTCACGTATTCATCCGCTTATAAAAATGTGGTTAATGGCATTTACTGTCCACACAGGAAAAGTTGTGCCGAGCAGCAACCAAATCCACAGAAGGGTTAATGCTGAGCAGCAATTATGCAAATGGAAATCTGGTAACTGCCTTTGGGGTCAAAGGCCGGTTACAGCCTTTCAGATCTAGAGGAGGGGTATTTAGGCCCAGTTCTCATCCTGCTCAGTGCCCTGTCGTGGTTTCCCTCGTGGTTGTCCGAGAGCGCGTTCCTGATTCAAGTTTCTTCTGGTTTTTGACTTTGGCTTTGATTTTGACTTCCCTGTATTCTGGTATCCCTGACTTCTGGCTTTCTCTTATCATTGTGTCTCTTTCTGTATCCCCTGACCTCGGCAAGTATCCTAACTATTCTTTGGTATGTAATACGTTACCTATTATTCATCTGTGTGACACAATTCTACGTGCTGGATCAACTAGTAATCCTGACAGTATGTTATGTACTCTTTACATAGATTTGTCACTAACATTCATTCCAATAGACACAAAGGGAAGGTGAGACAACATAATAGATGCCTAGTAACAAATGCCTTATATTTTCCATTAGTATTTTTAATATTTTGCTTCTTTCTAATAAATATATTTTATTTCGTTGTTCCTTTAGCTCCCGCTGCACAGCACCAGTTTTAATCTGTGTGGTCTGAAGAGATACTATCATATCTACTCCAACTATTTTTAACTTACTGTCAAGCCTGCTCATTGTAGATAAACTTTCTTTGTGACTTGAGGCTGGCAGTCCATTTGTTAATGTGCGGCTCTGTGCTGTAATTTCATTACATTTTTTCTCTCAGTTTGAAGGAATTTAACATTAACATCTATACATTTCATTCTAAAATATTACATTGCTAGAAAACTTGTCAAATTGCAATCTCCAAAAAATATACCGACAGAGAGAATGATTACCAACAAGCACAGGACAAACAGAAAGGTAGATAGATAGACAGATAGATATATAGGTAGATAGATAGATAGATAGATAGATAGATAGATAGACAGACAGACATGATTTTATATAGAATATTATTTTTGATTATTTGTACTCTGAATGCTTGCACAGTGCATGGGCCTTTCAGAATTTGGCAAATAGCTCAAGAATCATTCAAGAATTAGTTCTGGACTAATTATGTTAGGGCTATTAGGGCTGGTTTCGAAGAGTTTCAGTTTGGAACTCCACCACATAAATTCAGAGGGAAGTCTGGTCAATTTTTGAGGAATTACTTCTGAAATGTTACATAGAAACATAGAAACCTAGAATGTGACAGATAAGAACCATTCTAGTCTGCCCAATATTTCAAAATATTTTTAATTAGTCCCTGGCCTTATCTTGAGTCTAAGATAGCTTAATGCCTATCCCACTCATGCTTAACCTCCCTCACTGTGTTAACCTCTACCACTTCAGCTGGAAGGCTATTCCATGCATCCACTACCCTCTCAGTAAAGTAATACTTCCTGATATTATTTTAACACCTTTGCCCCTCTAATTTAAGACTATGTCCTCTTGTTGTGGTAGTTTTTCTTCTTTTAACTATAGTTTCCTCCTTTGACCTGATATGCCTCCAAATTGCCTGATATGCCTCCAAATTGACCTGATATGTCTCAAATTGTTTTTGTTGAATTTGTCTTGAAATATTTGCTGTTTAATGAAAAACCCTCTATGTTTCAAACATATATTTTAAAGTATGAAACAAAAAAGCTATTCTTTTTCCATAGTAAATCGTTTTTAGAGAAATCTCCCAAGACAGCAGTGTAAACTCAATATTCTTGAAAGATTTAAGATACAATACCATTTCATGAATTTAACAGAAGCTGTAACCGCCAATGTAATACATTTATCTATCACACCTGTAGGTCGAGACCACATAGCTGTTGTAGCTAATCATATTTTGCATATTACAGCAGTGGGGATAATTGAATTGTCTCTCAGATAAAGCTAAGACCATCTTCACAAACTATTGACAATTCTATTCATCAACAATGTTTGACTTTTATGATTTAATATATCATCCTGACAGGAGTGCTCTGTTGGTATAATTTCAAATAGGGTTCATAATGTATGTTCTGTTCGCTATACAAAGAAAGTTATTTAAAATTTGACACTTTGCATTTATAAAAAATATGATTTTTTTTTTTTTGCTGGGAATCCATTTTTATGAGATTAGCTGAAGCAAGTAAAATATTTATTAGTTCATATGCTTAAACAATGGAATGAATATTCCAAGTCTGGTGCAGATATTGCTTAGCAAGGGAGAATATTAGTAGAAAAGAGAGGAATATTATGAAGAGGTAGGTCATTTTAAAAAAATCTCATACCTGTTGGTGTGTTACTATAAACATGTAATATATTTTAAAGGTAGTAAGTGATAGTTATTTAAAATTGTATTTACATAATGATAATATGATGAATTATAATGAGATGACAGCGAAAGAACAAGGAACAGGCAGGTGAGAACATTGGCAGGTGAATAACTAATAAATACAATACACACAAATAGAGGCACAATGCAGAGACGCGCATTGGTATTATTTTGTTATTATGAATATTATTATATATTATATTATACAGCCATAACGCTGGAGAAACATGCAGTCCACAACATCTGGAGTGCCGAAGGTCACATACCCCTGACCTAGATAATAAATTAGTCCCTAATAGATAATATACACTGATCAGCCACAACATTAAAAAACACCTGCCTAAAATTGTGTAGGTCCCTCTAGTGCTGCCAAAACAGCTCTGATGCTTCGAGGCATGGACTCCACAAGACCATTGAATGTATCCTGTGTTGTCTGGCACCAAGACATTAGCAGCAGATCCGTTAAGTCCTGCAAGTTGCGAGGTGAGGCATCCATGGATCATATTTGTTGTTCTAGTATCTCCCACAGAAGCTCAATCAGATTGAGAGCTGGGGAATTCAGAGGCAAAGGCAAGACATTCAAATCTTTGTCATGTTCCTCAAACCATTCCTGAACAATTTTTGCAGTGTGGCAGGGTGCATTATCCTGCTGAAATGGGCAACTGCCATCAGGGAACACCATGCCATGAAGGACCATGAAGTCCGAAAATAAATGGCCGCATTCCTCTTGAAGATTTGATGATGAACCAAAAAACCCAAATCTCCAAAACAAATTTGAACACCCATTTGTTTAGCTTGATCCTGCTCCGTTCCACTGTAGGAGACAGGCTGAGGTGAATCCCTCCTCGGCGAACCCTCCCCCTGGGTCCAGTAGACATATGAGTGGCCGATCATCCACACTTGCCGAATGGACCTTACAAGGGCAAGACAGAGGGGAGCCCAATCAGACCCGACGGGCACACATACACAGAAACCGCCCCAAATCCCTAATCCCTAATCCCTAACCTACAGATAACCTGCTCCAAAAACCCAAGCTGCAATGCCTCGGTAGCTGCGCCAATATTAAACAAGTGACCTCCAAACTCCAAGCTCAAAGGCACCAAACGACAAGTGAAAAACCCTCCTGAATTGATACTTGGACAGGAACCTGGAATCCTGATTAACCAAAAGTGGACCCAGAAAAGGGAGGGTGAACATCCTGAAACCGTTAAAAACATGAAACTGTGCATGACATGTGCACAGTCGTTATTCGGCATGTGCCAAAACCTTAATAAAATAACTCTGTGACACCATTTCTGTTGGAGTATAAAGTCCACAGCTTTATTAAAATTTTAATTTAACAATTTAGGGTCATTGTCACAAGTATTAATTATGTCCGACCTTCTTGCCCAATACCCCCGACAATGACCCTACCAAATAACATTAATAAAACATTCCAATAATACATAACGTTTAACCCATGGCCTACAAAGAGGCCCCATAACCATATGTTTAACTGTAGGGGTGTACCCAGACACCTCTACACCCCCAGATTCGTAGCCACCAACGAGCTAGAACCTACCAACCATTTTCCACTCCGGCATAGTCCAGCCTAGACCTTGGCCTGCCCACTTCCTATTCCACCTAAATCCTCTTTAACCCAGGCCCTATTCCCGCCGCTGTGACCAAACGGGAAACTGCCTTACCAAAACAAGATAACACCTAAAACAAAGGGAGGGTGGGAGGGACAAGTATCAAGTAAGTGTGATTTTGATTAAAAAGGCCACTTCACCAAAATGGACGTTATTTAAACCCTTATTCTCCTCCCCCCCGCCCAGACATTACTTTTCCACACCCCTTGACCTTAACTTCACCTGCCCACTCTCTGACCCTGTCAAGGCCCACTCCCCCCCTGCGTTGCTCCATGGGCTTCATGACATGTGCACAGTCGTTATTCGGCATGTGCCAAAACCTTAATAAAATAACTCCGTGACACCATTTCTGTTGGAGTATAAAGTCCACAGCTTTATTAAAATTTTAATTCAACAATTTAACAATTTCGGGTTATTGTCACAAGTATTAATTATATCCGACCTTCTTGCCCAATACCCCCGACAATGACCCTACCAAATAACATTAATAAAACATTCCAATAATACATAACGTTTAACCCATGGGCTACCAAAGAGGCCCCATAACCATATGTTTAACTGTAGGGGTGTACCCAGACACCCCTACACCCCCAGATTCGTAGCCACCAACAAGCTAGAACCTACCAACCATTTTCCACTCCGGCATAGTCCAGCCTAGACCTTGGCCTGCCCACTTCCTATTCCACCTAAATCCTCTTTAACCCAGGCCCGATTCCGCCCCAGCACATGACTTGACCCCCTCAAGAACAGGTGCGACCCCCACCACACAAAAACAGGGCCTGTGCAATACCATCCTGAAAACCCTAATTAAGTAAATCCGATCCCACGTCGGATAGATGAACCCCATCCTTCCTAAAATACCCAGGCAGCATACCTTCCAATTCCTTGTGACGCACAACTACGCCGCCCATCCGCCTCACGAAAACCGCCATGGTCTTATTGACCTTACCCCTACTTCGCGCTATCGCAGCCGAATCCCTGGCGTGTCTCCAGTTAAAGCGAGGCACCATTTCTGACCAGACCACTACCACGCCAGGAACCAGCTCACGTAGCCGATCCAGATCCCTCTTCATCCTCCTCAACAGTTCCCGCTGCGGGATCAAGCCTAGGTCGTTCCCCCAACCATGAACCAGAATTACGTTAGGGACTGACCCCCATGCCAGCCTATTGAACAGTTCCTTACTGATGCTCTGCCAACCGAAACCCCTGAAACCCAACCAAGTGAGAACCACCGTCTCCATCGGGAAGCCCAGTTGTGCTCCGTCTCTTCTCATCGCGGCCCTCCTCTGCGCCCAATAAACGTAGAAATGTCCGATCAGCCATACCAAACGACCTAAAAGAAATAGAACAGTGAACAGCAGAGCACTTAACAATCAACACCCCAATCCCCTGTTACACCAACTTGTCCGGTCTAACGTATGAGCGGAACCGAATGGACTCCCATCTTCCTATCTGCTTGATCCGCTCGTCCCCCAGACCTAAACGAGCTGCCTCTGTTGCGGCCCCAATTCTGAAAGAATGTGTCCCGAATTGCATGGGTTCCAGGCCCAGCTTACCCAATCCTGCGCGAAGTATCCTAACGAACTGAAAACGTGACAAAGCCTTACCGTCAGCATGGATGAAGAAACAGCCGTCCTTCTCGGGGCGGACTTCCAAGAATTCGGCACCACAAGCCACTGGGCAGACCCTAGACCCTGGCAATTTGAACAATGTCACCAAGCCTCCTTTGCCGAATATGTCCGTCTTTGAGCGGCACAACTTAATCTGTACCTTATCTTCACCAACGGTCACGTCCCCCCACCGTATCCCACCAATCCCTGCTTTGTTGGTGCTAAGCAGCTCCCCGATTCGGAATGCCCCGAAGAATGCCCAGACAAATGCCCCAGAAAACAACACCACTTCATATTCGGAGTAACATAATGTCGGTAGAGCCTCCACTAGTCCTTGCAGTACCGCAAATGACACTGGCCTCCTCGTATCCACCGATTTCTTACCCCTCCGAAAACCTCTTATGGTTTGCCCAGGGGCGTATTAGCCGCAAGGCAAACAAGGCATTTGCCTTGGGCGGCATTTTTCAGGGGGCGGCAAAAAACGCCGCCCCCCAAATGCCCAAGGCAAATGCCTAGTTAGCCTCGCGGCTAACAGACATTCTGGGCGCTGGGCGGCAGTGGCTGCAGCGCTGGGCGGGCGGCCGGCGAGGGAGCTCTTCCCCTGAGCGCTCCGCTCAGCTCCCTCGGCGCCGCCAGCAGAGTGAGGCCGGGAGCCGGGTTGATGACGTCATATTCCGGCTCCCAGCCTCACTCTGCTGGCGGCGCGCGAGGGAGCTGAGCAGAGCGCTCAGGGGAAGAGCTCCCTCGCCGGCCGCCCGCCCGCCCGCAGCCCTGCAGCCACTGGACCCCAGGGAGAGGAAGAACCCCCCCCAGCATTACCAAAGGTAAGGAGGCTGGGGGGGGGGGTTAAATAAAAAAATAAAAAAAACACTAGTGTGTGTGTGTATGTATGTTAGTGTTAGTGTGTGTATGTATGTTAGTGTGTGTGTATGTTAGTGTGTGGATGTCTGTTAGTGTGTGGATGTCTGTTAGTGTGTGTATGTTAGTGTGTCTGTTAGTGTGTGTATGTTAGTGTGTCTGTTAGTGTGTGTATGTTAGTGTTTGTGTCTGTTAGTGTGTATGTTAGTGTGTGTGGATGTCTGTTAGTGTGTGGATGTCTGTTAGTGTGTGGATGTTAGTGTGTGTCTGTTAGTGTGTGTCTGTTAGTAGAGGCTGGGGGTTAAATAAAAAACAAAAAACACTAGTGTGTGTAATGAAGTCTGTTAGTCGTGTGAGTGTGTATGTATGTTAGTGTTAGTGTGTATGTATGTTAGTGTGTGTGTGTGTGTGTGGATGTCTGTTAGTGTGTATGTTGCCCAGTGTGTATGTTAGTGTGTGTGTATGTTAGTGTGTGTGTATGTTAGTGTTTGTGTGTATGTTAGTGTTTGTGTCTGTTAGTGTGTGTATGTTAGTGTTTGTGTCTGTTAGTGTGTGTGTGTGGATGTCTGTTAGTGTGTGTATGTTAGTGTGTATGTTAGTGTTAGTGTGTGTATGTTAGTGAGGCTGGGGGGGGGGTTAAATAAAAAAACAAAAAAAAACCACTAGTGTGTGTGTGGAAGTCTGTTAGTGTGAGTGTGTGTATGTATGTTAGTGTTAGTGTGTGTATGTATGTTAGTGTGTGTGTGTGTGTGGATGTCTGTTAGTGTGTGTATGTTAGTGTGTGTATGTTAGTGTGTGTGTATGTTAGTGTTTGTGTGTATGTTAGTGTTTGTGTCTGTTAGTGTGTGTATGTTAGTGTTTGTGTCTGTTAGTGTGTGTGTGTGGATGTCTGTTAGTGTGTGTATGTTAGTGTGTATGTTAGTGTTAGTGTGTGTATGTTAGTGTGTGTATGTTAGTGTTAGTGAGTGTGTCTGTTAGTGTTAGTGTGTATGTTAATGTTAGTGTATGTATGTTAGTGTTAGTGTGTGTCTGTTAGTGTGGATGTCTGTTAGTGAGTGTGTGAGTGTGTGTCT